CATCTACGTGTGTTGCAACTATATTATATAGTATATATATATATATCAGGAGTAGATATAGGTTAGTAATAGATATATATATATATATATATATATATATATATATAACTAGTCGGGTACCCGGCGTGTTGCTCAGAAAAAACGAAGTAGCAACAACTTTTAGAGCAAATTCAGCCACATATATTTACTTGGTTCTGAAGTAGGGTGCACACGAGCGTATTTTTATCGCCGATCGCGGAATTTTAAAATCGCCTCGAAAATTCGCCCGTGTGCCGTTCACGTCGACGCCGATTTTAATCGCCCGCACGAATCGCCCGTATCAAAATGTTAGATATTTTCGGGCGATTATTTACGCCGGCGATTATTTACGCTGGCAAAATTCGCTCGCTGTGCCGTGTCCGGCGTTATTTTGTCGCCCGATCGCTTTTTCAAACCAATCGACGTAGTGTTGATATCATGTTGATGTTAAAAATCGGCGCGATTAAATTCGCTACGTCGTGCCCCTTTCGTGGATACGGGCGATTAAATTTCGCTGGCGATTTTAATCGCCGCGATCTCGCGATAAAAATCGCTCGTGTGCCTAGCTAAAGCGGCCGGAGACATACGGCGATTTTATCGGGCGACTCAGTCTGGGCGCGACTCAATCGCCGGTGAAAATGTGTCCAGTCAGCCCCCCCCTCCCGCAGACGCCACGCACCGCACGTTGTATGTGCAGACGTACGGCAACGTGTATGTGCAGGACGCACGCCGCAGCACGCACGCACACACGTGTACGTGCACACGCACGCACACACGACCGCACGTGTACAGCACATGCACGCACGCACGCACATGCGTACGTGCACCACGCACGCGACGCACGACCTGTACGTGCACACGCACGCACGCACGCATGTGTACGTGCACACGCACGCGCCGCACGTACGTATACGTGCCACACGCACGCACGAGGCACGCACGCACGTGTACGTGCCACGCCACCCGACGCACGCACGTAGTATGCGAAAACACATGCCACACACGCCACGCGCACACGCACGCACGCACGCCGCACATTGTACGTGCCACGCACGCCCGCACGCACGCACGACACCACACACGCACATGTACGTGCACACGCACGCTGCGCACTCACGCACGTGTACGTACACACGCAAAGCGCGCACGTGTACGTACACACGCACGCGCGCACGTGTGACGTGCACAGCACGCAACAGCACGCACGTGTACGTGCACACGCCACGCACGCACCGCACGATGTACGCTTGCACACACGCCGCGCGCACGTGTACGTGCACCACGCACCGCACGCCACGCTGTACGTGGCCACGATGCACGCCGACATGCTACGTGCACAGCGCAACGCACACACGTACGTAAATGCTGCACACGCACGCACACACGCTACGTAATGTGCACACGCACGACGTCACGCAAAAAGCACCGCCGCACGGTGTACGGTGGCACACTCACGCAGCAGCACGCGACGTGCATACGCACGCACGTGTACGCTGCATACGCCACGTACCGTCGCACGGAGTACGTGTACACGCACGACACCCGAACGAACGTACACTGTAGGCACACGCACGCACGCAACCACGCAGTGTACACGGCAGTACGCGCGCACGAGGTACGTGTACACGCACGCCAGCACTCCCGAACGAACATTAATACGCTGCCAACTGCACGCACGCCACCGTGTTACGTGCACACGCGAAGACTGTGCATTGCAACGGACAGTCACACCAGATGGCATGCGGTATCAGATAGCGGTATGTGTATTGTGCTGTCGAATACTGAACTATTTTGCTCACAATGACCTGAACCGGAAGAATCGTGGCAAGAGTTTCGGCGCATTGGCAGCATGTGTAACTACGAACTGCTCTACTAGTAGTGCGAAAAGAATAGATAAACAATTTAAGCACTTTGTAGTAAAATTCATCGGCGCTTTTTCCAACGGTCACAGTGCAGATAGATTGAACATTCGGGGCGTACCGCGAGAGAACGCTGAAGACATGGTACGTACTGTACTCTCGCACCTGCACGGAGGGAAGCCAGGTGCTAGTCAATAGTAACCCGGCGAGTCTCTCTCCGCGAGTGACTCAGTATTTCGCGGAATAAGAACTCACGGTAAACGATTACTAGTATTCTGCCTCGACCAGGTGCCACACGGAACGACTAAAGACAGTAGGTAGCTAGCGGGGTTACAGTGGAGGGCAGCTCGTGCTCACTGACTCGTGGACGCCGGCTCCGCGAATGTAATATTTTTCCTACACGTTATATCCGATTGGGCTCCTCTGATTTGCTGCTTCTTTGATTTGACTTCGAACTCACAAACTTCAACAGAGAACAAAACGCCATCTGTAATATTTGTTTTGTTTATGATCGGTTAAGATAGTGAAGTTTTCTGATGTATTTTCTATGAAAAACACACTTTTATATTAATATAAATAATCATATCACTATAATTACAATTTCTTTGTGTTAAATGTGTTATTTTCATACTTAATCTTAGTTATGAGCGGTCATCATCTGCGCGCTCTCGTATACTAATACGTACGTATCAGCCTATCGGAGTTAATAAAGACAATTTGTCTTTACTTAACTTCTGGTACGTATACGTACTCGTACTTATTGAGTAGACTTCGCTCCGTCGCAGGAGGACGGAGGAGCTTAATAAGAAATTTTGCACAAGGCGCAGAGGTAGTGATCGCTAGGGGACGACTTCTGTGGTGTTTTGTCTCTTTTTATGTTTATACTTTTTGGGTGTAATTTTGTTTTATTTAGATTCAGGTGTTAGGGTTTAGGGTTTAGGGTGCATTAATTTGATTTCTATATCCACAACACGTCATATCGCGCCATCTACGGATCACTTCTCTCGCTGAGCCTTACTATATTAAAGGCTATAATTTTTGGCTTAGAATCTAGAGCTATTACGTACTCGTTGACGCTGGACCTGAGCAAGAGTAAACAAACACCTTTTTGGTATTTAACGCACGTATGTGTGCGTAACTTGCTTGATAGGTCTATGGGTCTCCTGCAGGATACCTGCGGAACGTCCTGGGTAATATCTGATATTGGTCTAGGTTAAGGGTTAGGGAGTAGGCGTAGGCGTACTTCCCTTACACTCGTTTAGGTGGAGGTGGGCGAGGTACGGTCCGGCATATTAGATAGTACCAGGGTACGTTCCGGTATAACGGGACCGTACCAGAGTGTTCGGCGTACCCAGGGAGACAGAGACCTGGCCAGTGTTAGTACTTGTTTGACATTTGAAATACATAGTACACTAGAATTGCAAGATTATAGTAGAATATATAATATTTATCTACTTATATGAGTAAAAGTGTCATCGAAACTATATTTATTCTACGCTCTAGGCATAACAGATATTTTACAGATTGGCGCTTTGGTCTCTGTGGTTTGGAAGGTTCATGTTTGAGTCAAAGAAATCAAAGTGAGGGCGAATTCAGAGCGAGGCGGCGCGGAGGCTCGCACGCGGGGGCCCGACTGGATGATGACGAGCTACGGCCGCGGTGTCGTGTGGGGCTCCAGTATAACCAAGAGGGGCCTATAAAGGAAGGTTCTCTCTTGACTCGCTCTTGGGGGTTAAGCGGGTGTGTTTGAGAGAAAATTCGCGGATGGCTCGAGCTCACCGACATGTATACACGTGCCACATGCAGCGATACGATGATCCATTTGCTGCAGGGGCGGTAGCCAGCGATTAAATCTCCGCCGGCGGGTCACTCCCCCGGAATTAATCTAAAGGGGGCGGACGGGGGCCGGGGTGCATATGTGTTGCCGCATGTTTTATATCGGACTTTGACAGTGCCGGCTGGTTTAAATAACAGTAGCCTTCTCACAGATCGAGAGGCCGGGCGACCTGCCCGCCACTCATCGGCCCCCCCCTGGCTACGGCACTGAATTGTAGACGGATATAATACAGTGCGGTGACGCTGCTCGAGCATTGCGTCACTGGTGCCCCACGCGTGCGCACACACGGGGTTCACGACCCTCGCCACGTCGCCGCGCCTCCCCGCCGCCCCGGCGGTCTTCTGCAGCCGGATTTCACGGAACGTCTAGTACGCGTATGTGTTGTACTCGAATATGTTGTCACGCGATGTGTTAAGTCACAGCACTTTTTGAAGCATAAATCACGTAAACATACGCCGCTCGCCATACCGGCCGGTACCTTCGACACACTCATGATGCTACCAGATCATGCTGCTTATATTTGACATTTCATTACTGGGGTTCGCCTTCAGTGTATACGCGCGGGCACTGCCGCGCCGGCGGCGGCTATGGGCTCTATGTCCACTTTGGCCTCCACTGGCACCTGCACAGGCTTCGTGTTTTCCACGTCGGCTAGCTTACCCGGCTTGCGGCATCTCGGCCACTCTCGGCTCAGGCCGGTTGACAGCGACCGCGTGGCGAGAAGGCCATATTAGGCCACTCGACTGGCCCACACTTAGGCACAGAGGGCGTTGCAGGGATTAGATACGCCAAGCCCTGCTCCGACCCCGGCGCCCTCAGCAGGGACGCCGCCGCCGCGGCCGGGCAGCGGAGGGACGGAGGGCCCCCCCCTCCCCCTCGCCGAGGCACAATAAACCGACATTTGCTTTCCGGCATTTTCGGGCCCCGGGGTAGTGTTTGTGATATTGAATATCACGTTGCAATCCTTCTTCACATACAGTACTTATATAGATTTCCCCATCTCTATGCTAAATTTGTTTTTCGTTCTTTTGTTTACTAGCTCCGTCGAACTTGAAGATGATGTCTACCACAGTAGAGACAAGCATGTCGGGTTTTGCGCTTGTGGAGAATGGGAAATCTGCGGTAGGTATTCATGTGCTAATTGTTACATGTTTTTTCGTAATGCGTAAAAACTAGCACGCTAGTGGGATTATTATAACAGTAGAGTCACTAGAGTGGCAGATATACCTAAATTGCGAAATCGATAGCGAAATCGATTGATTCTAACCACACTCAGGCTCAGCGTAGACTGGTTACGTACGTTTTGTTGAAGCAACATGGGGACACAGGCGCGTGTGGAATCGTCCTGGCGTAATATAGTGTCACCGGGAACGTGCCCTTGCTGTTAGTTTAGTCGTGCGATTAGTGTGGCATCACTGCATGATGTGGTGATTTACTATAGCCTGCATATAATGTACCTTAGCCCGACCAGGCTGTGCGACCGAGTCTTCTAACCCTAGCAAGACCGTTTTTTGGAGCTAAATGTACCTGTAAAAAACACTACAGCTAGTCTACAGTCGAATTAAACAGCTGGTGACACAACCATTTTATCTATTTTTGTGCGTTTTTCTCATTCATTGAATTAATTCAATAAAAATAAGACAAGCAAATTAATATAATAGTATACTCTCAGCATACAGACTTCGTACAACGAAGATATAGCATTTTATCGTGATTTTTTTCCAAGGCTTTTGCAAGACTAAGAAAGTCGATTTTCCAGGATTTCGAGATATATAGGCCAAATACAATCTTTAATTATTAACAACAGTGAGTAAACAAAAATATGTCATCAAACAAGTAGTATTGCCGTTTATACAGTGAAAAGGCTGTATCTACTGTATTTTAAACTTGCTATTCTTATTCGTAAAATGTGGGCACACTGAACATGGGCTCAATTTCCAGAACTTTCCTGGACCAAGTGCATGTAGACACGAATTTCGCGCTACACACACAGAAGTATAGAAAAACTGTAAGAAACTAGAGAGAAGACGAAGGCAAGAAATATTAGGAAACTTTAAACAATTTTAACAATTTACTAAGAGCTTACAGATAAATAATTACAGATTACAATTTACAGATAAGAAAGTACAAGTCAGACTGAGTCTCTCTCACTGGAAAATCTACTCTTAGTACAAGTCAGACTGAGTCTCTCTCACTGGAAAATCTACTCGTCAGACTTAAAAAATAACAAGAGATTTAGCTCCCCGTATCACACACTTACAGAATTCTCTAACACAGTTAGATGAAATCTACCAAAAAAAAGCGTGCACTTGTATTTATACCAAGCAGCTCAGCTAGCGCCCACGAAGTCCATCTACGTCGCCAAACCAATGTCATCGATTTATTATTACATTATACATTATATGTAACCAAATAAGGTGGCGGGAGGCACCATCTCATATACCTTCTATACGGAGAAAGTCTACAGGCCATAAGGCATCGATCAAAAGGTTGTTTGTCAGTAGGGCTGCTTGCAAGTCGCTACTTTCAGCGATTTCCAGTCCATGTTTTGGAAACGTTACTCCTAGTAATACTCGGATCTGTCTCTGCGATCCCTCAATTTGGCCGGTTTCCCAAAGCTATCTCGTGCGCTCTGTAAATAAGCTGACCTTTTGCGATTCATACTCTTTGCACTGATATTATTTCCAGAATAGATTTTCTCGCTTACAACAATAACTGTGACTGTTTCCTGCCAACAGGAGAGTGCTACCTGCAACTCGTTCGTACAAAACGGAAGCATCCCGCCGAACGAGGCCTCGGCTTTCCTGGAGAAGGTTCTGCGCATGCTCGTTGAGTCTAAGGTTGTTGCGGCCGACGGCAGCTTCCCTGATCGTGTGATCGAGTTTCTGCATCCCGATGAACTGCAGGTAAATCTACTGACGTAGCCGTCGCTGTGCGCTATAACAATTGCAGTTGATATGAAAGCAGTAGTAATGGATAAAGAGGCTGATATATCCCTAGCTGTATTGACCTATATACTTGTTATATACTAGATATAAACTATATATAATATAACTATGATATAACTCTTAACTATAATATGTAAATATATATTGTAGCGACGTAATGTTAATTAATTCCAGTGGAAGTTAATAGGCGACAGGCGTATATATATAACATATAACTATATACTATCTCTCTCTCTCTCTCTCTCTCTCTCTCTCTCTCTCTCTTTCTCTCTGCTCTCTTCTCTCTCTCTCTCCTCTCTCTCTCCTTCTTTCTCTTCTCGTTTTCTGCTCCCTCTCCCCTCTACCGCGTTCCTACTTTCTCTCCTAAGCATCTCGTCCTCTCATCTCTCCTCCTCTCCATCTCTCCTCTCTCTCTCTCTCCCTCTCTCTCTCCCTCTCTCTCTCTCTCTCTCTCTTGCTCTCCCCTCCCGCTCTATCCCCGTCGTCTGTCTGTCGTCTGTCTTGCCTGTTCTGTCTATCTATCTATCTATCTATATATCTTAGTCTAATCTAATCTATCTATCTATCTATCTATCTAAAGATTAATCCATCTTTTATCCCCCCGCTCTATCTCTCAATAGCGAAGTGCGCTTAACCGATCTCGGATAAACGGGAGCGACTGATGTCTTTGGAAATTAATATCT